ATATATATATATATATATATATATATATATATATATATATACATATACATATATATATTTATATGCGCAATGCTTTTCGTGCGCGTTGCATAGATTACTTGCTCGATGAGGGCTTAACCAATCTGGCGAATTGCATAAACTATGGGCTGTGCAGACGCACTTGTGGTTCTCTGAATCAGCTTCTTGTAATAGCATAAGCTTTACGTTGCTGTTGCTTTCCAAGTTTAACTTTCTATTTCAACTCAAATCAATATATTCATGCCCTCAACTGATAATCGACCGAGCCTTTTAATTATACGGCATATGATTGATTTTGCCCTTCTTATAACTCAAGCATTGTCTTGTTTAGCTCACCAACTTTAGATTGTTTCAATGATCGTTGTTTTTGTTCTACAGCCAGGACAGAATTATAAAAACAATAAATTTTTCATTGTTCCGCACGATCAACACATACACATATACACAAATACATATACAAGCCCACAACATTTTGCACTTGCCAAAGGGAATTTTTAAGTGGACTAGTTGGATGTATGAATTCGGATTCTACTTCTTCTTGCATTTAGTAAGCGTTCACTCTTGCTATTCAGTAGATACTTTTCAATATACTAATAACGGATTTTCATTTCGATCCTTGTCTGTATTAAATAAAGCGATAGAAATTAGCATAAATCCAAGTGGTACCTATCATGCGTATGGATTCAACGAGCACATAAATTCCTGTTTCAAGCCTTCCCATATTTAAATAGGCCAAGACCCTACGAGAGCTTATCATATCATTCATTTGGTGTGGGCACAAACTGGTCACTCTGTGTTCACCTGCAGTTAAACCTGCACTATACAATGCGAGCGTAGGGACCCATATGCCAGCAAATTACCTAAGCCTGCTTTGGTAAAATTCGCATTCTATGCGAATTTTGTTAATAAATTTTAGTAATGGTCTGGTTACCGATAAAGAGTTCTGTAAATGCTTGCTAGTCTGGATGCGAGTCCTACAACAGGTTGAAAGTTAAGGTTACATCAACAGGATATGTTATTACATAGATAGGAATCGTTAAATGGTCGTGAGTTATAATGTCCTATTTTCGCCTTTCCATTGCTCCTTTTTTTTGAATGTAGATTGCCATTCCAAAACGCTTCTATAATCTGCTTGCACATTCCCGTGTTTTGTCCCTTTGGGTATAGGGTAATTAATGTTAGTATGTAAATCTGGCAGCATCGATGCACAAAACATAGTTTCAGCGAGTCATGCTTTGTTCATGACACAGTGATATTGTGGCACAGTTCATAGCATCGCCTCATTTGGCCGAAATGCTAATCATATATAGAAGAATTGAAGTGGACTTTGCCTTGAATTTTCAGGGTTTCAAAAAAATTAGATATGGATAATCACCATTTTTAGCCTCGATTAGCAGGTAATTTACATGACTGTAACTACGATCTAAAAGAGAACCTGTTTAGTATAATGGATCGACTATGATGACGCCAGTGCCGCAAAATTCATTTTTGATTGATCTTTCATTTTAGTCTCCTATTTCATTGATTTTACGACTTCCTTCCGAGGGTCCGAAGCATGCGTTAGGAAGTAGAAAGTAATCTTGCTGTCATGCCCAAATAAGAGCCGTCAAAGTCGGAAATACCAAGAATCAGTCAGCGCAAGAACGATGCGGGTAAGACTTGGACCTGCGTTATTTTATGGTCAAGAACGAAATTCACGTGGGCGGAAATTTTTGACCGTTTTGAACAGCCAACTGACAAATAGAGCAATTATGCCATAAAGCGGCCTACCCCTGTGCCATTCACTTGGAGGGAGGCCCAAGTAACTAAACTTGCCTGAAACAACCCCGGATGGTGCACCCCACCGCGTCATCGGTTGACGCCTAAAATCCTACAAGCTTAGAAGCCGGCCTCGTGACCCAGCTGTAGATTAAGGAAAACTCAAGTAGATTATGGGACAAATGCCATTAGTAGGAGAGTTCCTTATATAGCAGGACTGGCCAAGGCCAACATTCGAGCACTTAATGCGATTAATTACTAAAGTTTACCTATCCTTTCAGAGGCTACCGCGTGACGAGGGACATGGAAACTCTGGGATCACTCAACAACTTTTCCGATACCTACCCAAACCATACCCTTGAAGAGATGATCGAGAAACTGGCAAATGAAGCAAAGAGCTCAAGAAGGTCCTTGGCAAAGAGGTTGCTACTTGCCTAAGATTAAACCAAACAGTGTAAATAATGTGAAATAAATCTGACAATTTTCATCTCTTGTTTTAAAAAGACTAAGGGTAATGCAAACGAATAACGTATTTATTGAAAGTACAATTCAGCAGAGTAATCCTTAAAATGAAAATGACTTTAATGCATGCTGTCGGAAATATTGCAACGAATAGATCCAAATGAGCAGATGGAATCGGAGCAATTTAAATAGCGTCGATATCGATGTCATCATCGTCTTCTTTCTGACTGCTTCCATTCAACTCCCTGGTGTCCCTTTGTGCATCAGGAATAGCCTAAAGAATTATAATAAATGAAGCCTTACTTTAGTATCATCAAACGAATCTTCACTCGCCGAATCAGAATCCTCTTCTTCTGCTTCTTTGAGCCATTTTATCATGGGTGAACAAATACTAAGAATCTTAGAGCTTAATTCCTTTGAAACATATTTCTTTGAAGGCTAAAGGAAGATTTAAAGTTAATAAAAATTACCCCTTTGTCGTACCAGGCGATTATGGTTTCTTCCTCTACGATATCACAATCGTAGAGAGTCTTGAGGATATGACACGAGCGACTGACCAAATTGCTTGAACTAAATTTCCCTATTATGCTAGTCATAGCCCCGAGAAGATACTGTTGCGCTTTTTTGTGGTATTCTCCAGACCTCGTAAACTGCATAAACACTGTTCGATACGCCTTCACATCATCCAGAATCTTATTTGGATCGTTTAGCAAAACTTCTGCGAGAACCAAAGTGACACGCGGACCTAGATCAAGTCTGTCGGCCTCCTGTTTAATTTCTTTCCTTCTATCGACCACGAGGCCCTGCTTAAGTAATCGTTCAAGATGTTTGAAAAAAATATCCGCACGTTCAGTTTCACTCTTTTCTACGTCGATACTAAGGGCAAGGGACTTTGCCATTGCGGAAAGTTCATTAATACGTCTTAGCTGTGCCTCTAGAGTTGTATCCTCGCCCCAATCATCTTCATCGGCCCTGAAGTCGGCAAAGTTGGGACTAGGCTGACCACCATCTTCGCAATTCATATCTTCGCCTGAAAAAACAGCTCAAAATAAGAAAGAATATTATACCAGAATCTTGATCTCCACCATTTTTCTTGCTCTTTTTTCCTTTGCTCTTGGTACTAGTTGTGTTATCGACATCTGGGGGGTTTTTCACGATAAACTGAGTGAGACGATGACCGACGTCCAGTTGGCCTTGCGATCCACAAGCTTTGCAAGCACTTGTGACAACACCTGCATTTCTTTTTACCCTCTATGGCTTGTTATAATATTTCACACTTACCAAGGTAGTTTCTGGGTTACCGCAGCTCTGACAGAGAACAAATTTCTTTATGAAGCCATCGAGCAGCTCCTGGAGTTTAGAAGCCTCGTGAGCACCGTTCACTATGTACCTTTCGTTCTTTTCATCAACATGCACCTGAGCACCGAGTTCACATCCGAAATACTTAGTGACATCTGTGGAATATTAGTTGAAATATAGGCTTACAGATGGGCTTGCGATATAATGCCTTGGCGATATCAATCACGTTAACGATGACAGTTTTAATTCCGTTGCCCTTGCCCTCTACCTAGGGGAATTGTTACAAGACGAAGACTTACTTTAGCGGCTAACTTGGGCATTTTGTACCTGTAAAAGGTATCTTCAACCTCGCGATTGATGTTGACCTCCATTTTTGACAGCTTTCATTTGCCTCCAAGTTAATTGAGGCCTGAACCATGTAACAGAATGGACTTTGGCTTGTAAAATCTAGAAGTTACAGAAGAGATATGGGGAAAGAGGATGAACGTACGGAAAGCGAGAACTCCGCGGAGTGGGAGAGAATCAACTACGCTTGGATGTATAGTGGCGGATACAAGGAGGTTTAAACAAACCTGGATTGCCAGATAAAAATAACTATAATAAAAGCCTAAAAATATTAAAAAGCAATGTTTTAATAAATAAAATAATTAAAATTTATCAAAATTTAGATTTTAAATAGGGTACCATTTTTAAGTGTATAAAAATATAATTTCATAAATCATTATTCTGGATTAAATAAAGCAAATATAGTGATTTTTTGGAATCTGAGTCACATTTTATTTTGGGTATAAATTAACCTTTTATTAAATAAATACTTTGTTCGGCTTCCTATAACAATTACTCCTATATTGTAATATCGGTATATGAATGAAGATAATTTAGTTCATTCTTCCGGATAAAACATTATATAGAATAAATTTTTAATGACTTTATAACCATTTCTTTTTTCTCCAGAATTGCTTAAAATGTTTTTTATCTAGTATTCACAAGTTTGCCGTTGAGGCAGGGAGAAGGTGTTTAGTTTAATCAGTTTCATGCTAGCCGTGTTAATAATTATGATAATTTCGACATGGTAAGCTTGGTTCTTAAATATGCTTATCACACATGGCATTGTCTAATCTCACTTTATGCCAGCATACACACACGCATAGACTCTTATTTTGCATGCTAAGGGCCAATTCATATTATACTACCAACCTACAATGCAGCAAACTATATAGAAATGAAATTAATATAGTATCTAAAATTGAAATATTCAATAGCGTACCAATCTTTTATTTAGATCTTGTTGAGAAAAACCACTTGTAGGACTTTCTGAAATTGATTCACATCTCAAGTGCCTTCTCTTACTCGCGAAGTCTCTATCAATTTACTAAGCAATTTTCTTGACCAATGCGCTTCTTTTTGTTATTCTTTCTGAACGAATACTTTTTCTTAATTTATTTCTTACTGTGCTCTCCCTAGGATGGGAACTCTGTTGCCATAATCTATAGATATATTAAATGTATACAAGACTTTTTCCTGATAAACTACGATGTTTGGTTATAATATTAAAGTTCCAAGAACTAAAATGTTCCAATATTGACTTAGATTACGAAATATTCGTGTCATTTAATTGTTAGTATATGCTCAATCATCGTGATCGTTATAGTTTGAAGAAATTAATATGAGTTCTTCATAGTATTTTGCAATATATTATTAGCGAAATTTACGTAAAACCCTTAAATCTTGGCAGTTAAACATTGCCTTGTAATTTTAATCGTCTATAAGTCAAGTGGTTCTATATCTTCCCTTATCTTTGTTAGTAGGTATGCTCTGAGAGATCTTAGGACTTTTGCAATCTTGAATTCATTTATAGAGTATAAATTTATTCATTCATAATTAGTTCCTTTGCATACTTCTCAGAAATTTCCTTATCTTTGTTGTCCTGGCTTTTTTTACAACACTCATTCCATTATTTTTATCTCGACAATTATCTCCATTTTTCTCTTTCGTTCAAGTTTGCCCATTTCTACTATTGCCCCTACTTTAACTTATTAATGTCATTAATTTAAAGGATGAGCGTATAGGAAATTTACCTTAAAAAACGAATATGAGTTATTTTATTGTCAAGTATTACATTTTTCATGTACTGTGTTAAGGAGTTTTGAGAAGGCCGGTAAATATTTATGCATTTTTTAAATGATTAACACCTTTTTAGTTTATTTTTGCGTCAAAAGGATAGTTCAAGCCTGCTTTTTAAGCAGTTTTTGAATGATTTTATGTTTATGTGTAGTGTCTAAAAAGCAGCCCACTGACTTTATATCTATATCAAGTTGCGATCAAAGCTTTACGATTTGACTATGGTACAGATATGTCGATAAATGAAAAACAGTAAGACATATATTCATGATAAGAATCCATATCGAATAGAGTATAATTATAGGTCTGTCCTCCGATCTAAATGAATGATAAAAGTTTGAAGAATCTTATATTAAATTTGTACTT